GCCGGAGCCCAGCAGGTCAAGGCTGCAGTGGCCAGGTGCGGCCACTGCACTCCAGTCTGGGCGACGGAGTGAGACTCCAACTCAAACAACAACAACAACAACAAACAAAATACCGACACCTAAGGGATGACTAGTACTGCAGGCCATCACTGGGCTCAGATTTTAGGTCTCCTCGTGGAGAGGAGAGGAGAGGAGGCAGGAAAGAGGTGAGGCTCTTCTTAAGAGATGCTGGGACCCCGGTGCTTCCCATGGTGGAAGAGGGTTGGCCCCAAGGTGAGCTTGGGGGCCCTTCATTTGTTTGGGTGCCTGTTCCTAAGCTGGCATCCTAGGACTGGGATGCACTGAACAGGTTGGTTGATCTTTTCCTCAGGAATAGACACATCAACAAGCAATGAAGACTGTTCCCAAGACACGATGTTCTAAAGGGAACCTAACTGTGGAAACCAAGAATGCTTCCTGGCCGGGGCCAGTGGCTCATGCCTGTAATCCCAGCACTTTGGGAGGTGGAGGGAGGTGAGAGGATTGCCTGAGCTAAGGTGTTTGAGGCCAGCCCGGGCAATTTGGCGAGACCTTGTCTCTACAATAAATCAAAAAATTAGCTGGGCATGATGGCGCACACCTGTGGCTCCAGCTATTTGGAAGGCTGAGGCAGAAGGATTGCCTGAGTCCAGCAAGTTGAGGCTGTGGTGGCCATGATCGTGCCACTGCACTCCAGCTTGGGCAACAGTGAGACTTCAATTCAAAAACACCTGGAAGGCTGAGGCGGAAGGATCGCCAGAGCCCAGTAGGTCGAGGCTACGGTGGCTCACTCTCGTAATCTCAGCACTTTGGGAGGCCAAGGTGAGAGGATTGCCTGAGTCTAGGGGTTCAAGGCCAGCCTGAGCAACTTGGCAAGACCTCGTCTCTACAATAAATCAAAAAAATTAGCTGGGCGTGATGGCACATACCTGTGGTTCCAGCTACTTGGAAGGCTGAGGTGGAAGGATTGCCTGGGCCCAGCAGGTCACGATTGCAGTGCCACTGCACTCCAGCCTGGGCGACAGAATGAAGCTCTGACTAATAAAAAATTAAAATAAAAAAAAAAAAAGAATGCTTCCTGACTTGAAGGTGACCTGGGGAAGACACGCGTGCGCCATAGCTGCCCTAGCTTTGCCCTCTTCTCCGTGGCTGATCTCGTTTGTGGATGGATTCTGAAGGTCAGAATTGAAATGATGGCTCCTGCCTAAGAAATTCTTAGGGACCAAGAAATGTGTAAGGGAGTGGGAAATGACTTAGGCTGTGGGGAAGACCAGCACTGGGGAGGAAGGGAGGGATGGAGGAGGACTTAAGACAGGCTTCCACCCTCTGGAAGCCAGCAGCTCACAGGAGGGGCACATGTTGCCCTGATGCCCATTCAGGACGCGAAAGGCAGGACAGGGAAAGGAGGGACTGGGAGTGTCGGGTGAGAGGATGCTGGGAAGTCCCAGGGGTTAAGGGAGAGTAGATGCAGATGGTGGCTTTCTCCTTCACTGGGGTCACAAGCCAAGCAGATCCTTCATGCCCCATGGGGTCTTGCATAACCTCTGACCCTCAGAAACAGTTCAATAAATGGCACTGCAGTAATGAGCAGGGGTTGTCCTCCCAGAGTCCATCAGGTGAATGTTCACTGTTCCCTGGGACCCGGATACCTGTGGGCCCTCCTGCTTCCTATCGTCTGCCCTGAAGTCCCCCAGCACAGTCCCAGGAAGGAGGGCGCCTCGTGCCTTCTGGCCTTCTCTTATGTTTTTTGTTCTGAAAGCTGGGGTTACTCTGCCCCTAGAAGGCACTACCTGCTCTCTGACCACATCTTAGAGAAGGGGCAGTACAACACTGGTTTGATATTCATCCATGAGCCAATTTAATTTTAATTCACAAATGATTCCTGGCCAGGTGAGCTGGCTCGTGCCTGTAATCCCAGCATTTTGGGAGACCGAGGTGGGAGGACTGCTTGAGGTCAGGGGTTTGAGACCAGCCTGGACAACATAGCAAGACCCTGTCTCTAATTAAAAAAAAAAAGGCCAGACACAGTGGTTCATGCCTGTAACCCAGGCACTTTGGGAGGTGGAGGTAAGAGCATTGCCTGAGCCCAGGGGTTGGAGATCAGCCTGGGCAACTTGGCGAGATCTCGTCTCTACAATAAATCCAAAACAGTAGCTGGGTGTGGTGGTGCATGCCTGTGGTTCTAGGTATAGGCTGAGGCAGAAGGATCTCCTGAGCCCAGCAGGTCCAGGCTGCGGTGGCTGTGAGTGTGCCACTGCACTCCAGCCTGGAGGACAGAGTAAGACTTCGACTCAAAAAAAAAATAAATAAAAGGAATGAGTCCTGATTCAGCAGATAGTTTGGTGTTTTAGGAAGAAATTGCAGCATCTTCCATATCCTAGGAGGGTGGCCAGATCAGCCTGAATAGGATTACGTGAAATCCAGTCCATCTCCCTCAGATGCTTCCTGAACACTTGGCAAGATGGTACTTCTGGTATTTCTGTCAAAAGATTTTCTTTCCCAAAGCGAAGACCTGAAGTATGAATGTCAGGAAGCAAAACAATAACAGCATTCTGGTTTCTCGTTGTGGGCTTTCCTCCTATCCTCCCTGTATGAGCTGTTCAAACTACTCCAGAATGTTCCAAACATCCTCTCCCTCTCTGCACACTCCTCCCTTCACTCCTCTCTTCTTCAAGAGAGAAGCAAAATTCAGTGGAAAACAACTGAAGCTTTGGGGTGACAGAAAAGGGAAAGGGCAGAAGAACAAGGCTTGTCCTCCGCCCCAGTGCCTGGAGTCCTGGTTTCACTAGGAAGAGAGGGAAGCAGTGGTGTCCCCTTTACTGAGTCAGTGGCGATGACCCGTGCTGTGTATAGAGGCAATAGTGCTGCGCATCCGGGCCAGAAGGATTAGGGACAAGTGGCAAATTTATGCTTGGTGCTGAAATGCTGCTCAGGAGACACCAGGGTATCTGGCTACTTTGGATTCAGAGACAGCCTCTTTGATGGGCGTTATGGGCCTCGTGAACATCTTCAGCAAGTGCAGTGGGTCTTTTCACTTGGACCCTGGGTCATGAGAACTGGGCTGGAGTCCAGGGGAGGGCTGTTTAGAGTGCCCTCCCCGTCCAGGTACAGGCTGTTGCGGGCGATCAGCTCCTTGGCCATCAGCACGAAGACTTCATCTATGTTCCTGGACTCCTTGGCAGATGTCTCCAGAACAGCCAGGAGGCCGTATTTCTCAGCCAGCGTGCAGGCATCTTCAAACAGGACATGCCGCTGTTCCCAGAGGTCAGATTTGTTTCCTGAAAGTCAAAGATAAGCAGATATTCCACTGAGTAGTTAATCTATTTTTTTGCCAAAATGAACTTTAGGGAGAACATTGTAGTTCTGCAGTAGGCATGTATATACATTCATTCACAAATAGCCTTTTTTTTTGAGTTGGAGTCTTACTCTGTCACCCAGGCTGGAGTGCAGTGGCATGCTCACAGCCACTGCAGCCTTAACCTGCTAGGCTCCGGTGATCCTTCTGCCTCAGCCATCCAAGTAGCTGGAACTACAGGTGTGTGCCACCATGCCAGGCTAATTTTTTGATTTATTGTAGAGGTGAGGTCTTGCCATTTTGCCCAGGCTGGTCTCGAACTCCTGAGCTGAGGCAATCCTCTCACCTCTGCCTCCCAAAGTGCTGGGATGCAGTGACATGCTCATGGCCACCGCAGCTTTGACCTGCTGGGCTCAGGCGCTCCTTCCACCTCAGCCTTCCAAGTATCTGGAACTACAGGTTCGATACCTGGCTAATTTTTCTTTATTTATTGCAGAGCTGAGGTCTTGCCAGACTGGTCTCAAACCCGTGGTCTCAGGCAAACTTGCCCAGACTGGTCTCAAACCCGTGGTCTCAGGCAATCCTTTCGCCTTGGCCTCCCAAAGTGCTGGTTTTGGGGTTTTTTTTGTTTTTTTGTTTTTTTTTAGTTGAGGTCTTACCCTGTGCAGTGGCACACTCATCCTGCTGGGTTCAGGTGATCCTTCCGCCTCAGCCTTCCAAGTAGCTGGAACTACAGGTGCACGCTACCATGCCTGGCTAATTTTTTTATTTATTGTAGAGATGAGGTCTCGTCAAATTGCCCAGGCGGGTCTCGAACCCGTAGGCTCAGGCAATCCACTCACCTCAGCCTCCCACGGTGCGAGATTACAGGCTGAGCCACTGAGCCCGGATGACTTTTTTTTTTTTAAGGTATAATTTACATACAATAAAGCTCACAGACTTTAAGCATACATTTCAATGAGTTTTGACAAATGTATATACCTCTGTAACCACCATCTTCCTCAAGATATAGAACATTCCCAATGTTCCTAGAAAGTTCAGTGGTAGATTTTGTAAGCATGGCCCAGGATTGAGGGTAGGAGGAAAGGTTCCTAATCTCTTTCACCCCCCCACTCCAGTCCTGGATCTAAAGGTAAAATTTCCTATAGGACTTGTTCCACCAGGCAGCAAGATGTATTACAAAACCACAGTAATTAAGACAAGCTAGTGGGGTGCAGTCGCTCATGCCTGTAATCTCAGCACATTAGGAGGTAAAGGGGGGAGAATTGCCTGAGCCCAGGGGTTCCAGACCAGCCTGGGCAACTTGGCAAAACCTTGTCTCTACAATAAATCAAAAAATTAGCCAGGTGTGGTGGTGCACACTTGTGGTTCTAGTCACTTGGAAGGCTGAGGTGGAAGGATGCCTGAGCTCAGCAGGTTGAGGCTGCAGTGGTCATGAGCATGCCACTGCACTCCAGCCTGGGTGACAAGGTGAGGCGCCAGCCCCCCCCAAAAAAAGAAATAGAGTTGCTATGAATATTTGTGTACAGGTGTTATGTAAATCTCATACCGCAGATGTAGTGTATATGTCTCTTTGGAATGGCCACAGACCAGTGGAATAGTGAAAAGATTTTCACTCCCAAGAAAATGAATGAAATAGATTAATGGAGTAGAATAAAAAGCTCAGAAAAACAAAAACAAACAAACTTATGTCTGGGCACAGTGGCTCACACCTGTAAACCCCAGTACTTTGGGAAGCAGAAGTTAGAAGACTACCTGAGCCCAGGTATTCAAGACCAGCCTGAGCAACTTGGCAAGACCTCATCTCTACAATAAATAAAAAAATTAGCCAGGTGTTGTGGTGCGTGCCTATAATTCCAGCTACTTGGAGGATCGAGGTGGAAGGATCACCTGAACCCAGGAAGTTGAGGCTGCAGTGACTATGAGAATGCCGCTACACTCTAGCCTGGGTGGCAGATTGAGACTCCAACTAAAAAAAACCCCCAACAAACAAACAAACAAATAAACAAACACCTCATGAATAAGTGTATACTTTAAAGAAAGATGGTATCACAGAGCAATGGAAAAGGTTACCTTTTTAGTAAATATTTCAGGGACGATATGATCTTTATATGAAAAATTATAAGTTTTTGGTCCATACCTCTCACCATGCACCAAAATCAATTATGGGTAGATTGCAGATCTAAAGGTAAAAGCCATAATGATAATAATAATAATAAGTTAATAAAGCTTTGCAGGATAATAAAGGCTGGGCACAGTGGCTCATAGTTGTAATCTCAATACTTTGGGAATCTGAGGAGGATTGTTTGAGCCTAGTAGTTATAGGATCACGTTACTGCACTCTAGCCTGGGTGACAGCATGATTCTAGATTTAAAAGACTATGATAAACATAAAAAATCCTCTTTAAACATTTTTTTTTTTTAGTTGGAATTCTACTCTGTCGCCCAGGTTGGAGTGCAGTGGCATGCTCATGGCCACTGCAGCCTCGGCCTACTGGACTCAGGTGATCCTTCCATCTCAGCCTTCCAAGTAAATGGAACTATAGGCACATGCCACCACTCCTGGCTAATTTTTTTGGTTTTTATTGTAGAGATGAAGTCTCAACAAGTTGCCCAGGCTGCTCTTGAACCCATGGACTCAGGCAATCCTCTCACCTTGGCCTACCAAAGTGCTGGGATTATAGGTGTAAGTCACTGCACCCGACCTTTTAAAAAAAAATTTTTTTTTTACATGGAGTCTCACTCTGTTGCTCAGGCTGTAGTGCAGTGGCACGCTCATGGCTACTGCAGTCATATATATATATATATATATATATAGTAGAGAAGTGATCACCATAAAAGTCATGTTGAGTTTGCCTTTGGGGAAAAAAGAAGGGAGTCATTGACAGGGTATGAAGGATGGGGAAGGGAAGAAGCTGGCAAGATTCTCTTACTTGACCTGGCAATGTTCCCTTTGTAATAAATCAGTGTGCACTTTTCTTTTTTTTTTTTTTGAGTTGGAGTCTCACTCTGTCACCCAGACTGGAGTGCA